CACAACCAGGCCCCCCCGGGCGTGTTTTTGTCGTGAGAATATTGGAGGGAAGGTAATACAGGCAATTTTAAGATTGGCCCAGGTTGAGAAACACTGGTCTGTCAATTTGCCCTGCTTGTGTGGGTTCACCTGGAGAAAATCATGTTGGAGTGTGTATTTTTTTTTGACACCCTAAAAGTAACCAAGTCTCTTCTGGAGGCCCTCCCTTGAATTAAAGTTTAAAAAAGGGAGTTTGTTGCTCCAAACCCTCTATTGTTTCTGCTTCCTGCTGTGACAGTTTCACTTTTTGTCTGTGCCACGTAACCAGCCTGCTCGAAAGAGGAGAATTGTTTTACTCCTCCTCCTATTCTATTTTAATCGCTTTCGGTTTCCCATTCCCACGACAGAGACGATTCGAGATGTACGGGCACGTTTTGGTTATAAATAAAGCAAACACCATAAATGCAAAAGTTTGAAAAAAGGACCTTGAAGGCCAGGGCGGTTGGTCTAAAAAAATCACACACAGTTCTGGTTTCCATTAATTTTATTCTGGGAATAAACAGTGTTGACTGAAGGCAGTCTTAGAATATTCTCATAGCTGCTTGGGGTTTGTAAATGGGCGTGTTTTTCTTTTGTAAAGCTCACGTTGGACACATTTAGGGAGCAAGGGCTGTCAGGGTGATTAGCTGCGAGAGTTGAAATGAGCCTCCATCAACAGGAGCAGTGTGCCTTTGGATTCTAGAAGCTGGAAAGAAACCAGAGGGATGACCTGCTGCTGAAAGTGATCTGGTTTCAAAAGAGAAGCCCGAGTCTGTACTTTAATACATAGTTGTGACCCTTCTATGTGGGAAGAAATCCATCTTTTTCATGAAATCAGTTGTAAATCATGATTTACAACCCATCTGGGACTCTAAAAGACCGTGCCTCAGTTTCTCCTTGGATTTCTTCCTGGGTACCTCACCTTAGAGCAGTGTTCCTCAGCCTTAAGATGGGTGGACTTCAACTCTCAGAATTTCTTGCTTGGCTTTGAAGGGTTTCGGAAATAGAAAGCTGGCATAAATAATATAATTTTGGTTCGACCAGTGAAGTTTTTAAGAGGGTTGGACCCAGAATCGTCAGCACTAATACCGTATGCTAACTGTGGTTTGTTTAATCCAGACCTTGTTGTCTTGGGGATGAATTTAGCAAAGTACGTGGACTGTATGCTCTCTGTTTGAACTCCTGGAGATATGGCAGGATATAAAGCTAATAAATCAGCAGAATAAATAAATCAGCAGGACAAATCTACCTCCTGGTTTTATAGCCTGGCAGCTGGATTTATACATTATGCTAACTTTCTTTGCTTTAACCTGGTTTGTGGAATAAGCCAACTTGGACTGAGTTCATCCAACAAGCTAAGCCAAACCAAAGCAGACTTCAATTTGGTCTTTTCTTAGAAGATTGATGGAAGGAGCACTAATGTTTCCCTATGTAAAAACCTCTCACTGCCTGCAGAAAGCTAGATTATCAGGGGTGTGGATAGATCAAGGTTTTTTTTCCTCCGAAGAGATGTTTTCGGTTTAAGTAATTGCTTGACCCTGCTGCTGAAAGCGATCTGGTTTCAAAAGAGAGGCCCAAGCTTGTACTTTAATACATAGTTGTGAGTCTTCTATGGGGGAAAAACATCTTTTTCATGAAATCAGTTGTAAATCATTATTTACAACCAATCTGGGACTCTAAAAGTCTGTGCCTCAGTTTCTCTTTGGATTTCTTCCTGGGTACCTCACCTTAGAGCAGTGTTTCTCAACCTCGGCCACTTTAAGATGGGTGGACTTCAACTCCCAGAATTCCCCATGGCTGGCTGAGGAATTCTGGGTATTGAAGGCCACCCGTCTTATAGTGGGCGAGGTTGAGAAAAAATGCCTAGAGAAATTTAAAAAAACGGGAAG